ATCAGGGGCTTGTGGTGCCAAGTTCCCTTGTTCCTGGCTGTCAGATGCTACATCAGGGGCAGGCATGACACCCTCTCGCTTCAAACTGCCAGTCTGAACTCAGCCATAGAGTTGAAAGGGACTTCCAGGGACATCTTGTCCAACCCCCTGCATAAGGCAGGAAATTCACAAATACCTCCCCCTCCACACCCTCAGTGACTGCTGTTCCATGCCCAGAAGATGACAAAAAAACCTCCAGGATTGCTTCCTGACCCCAAAGTGGCAATCAGCATTTCCCTGGGCGTGTAAGAAAGGGCCGCAAGAACTAAGCACTGTAGCATCCCTTCCTGCCCTCCCTCTCATGAACTGCCTCAGTTCACAGAATCCACATTGCCGTCAGATGACCACCTAACCTCTGTTTGAAAACCACCAAAGAAGGAGAGTCCACCACTTCCCGAGGAAGCCTGTTCCACTGAGGAACCACTCTAACTGTCAGGAAGTTCTTCCCAATGTTTAACCAAAAACTCTTCTGATTTAATTTCAACACGTTGGTTCTGGTCCGACCTTCTGGGGCAATAGAAAACAACTCCCCACCATCCTCTAGATGACAGCCTTTCAAGTACTTGAAGATGGTTATCATATCACCTCTCAGTCGTCTCCTCTCCAGGCTAAACATACCCAGGTCCTTCAGCCTTTCCTCATATGACTTGGTCTCCAGACCCCTCACCATCTTCGTAGCTCTCCTCTGGACACGTTCCAGCTTATCTATATCTTTCTTAAATTGTGGTGCCCAAAACTGAACACAATACTCTAGGTGAGGTCTAACCAGAGCAAAGTGGTACAATCACATCTTGTGATCTGGACACTATACTTCTCTTGATACAGCCCAAAATCGCATTTGCCTTTTTAGCAGCCACATCACATGGCTGACTCATGTTCAGTGTATGGTCTACTAAGATCCCTAGATCCTTTTCATACACACTACTGCCAAGACAACTCTCCCCCAACCTATAATTATGCATTTGATTTTTCCTACCTAAATGCAGAACTTTACAAAAGGACTTTGTGGTTGCAGAGAAGCTCCTGATTGGCTGAGCTACCCTGAGGTCACAGAGCAGACTGCCACTGGCTCTGCTGCTCAGAGTGCAGAGATAGGAGCAAATCAAAGCTGGCCAATCCCGAGGCCCCAGGCAACCTGCCAGCCAGGGCAGCCAATGTTGCCCACCTCTATTCAAGGATAAAGAAAAAATGGGCCGCACCCGGCAATGTGCCAAGAGGACAAAAAGGGGAAAAGGCCAGGTGACAGTTGACTGATTTATTATAGTACAAAGTCCCTACACGTTTCACCAATTACTGTGGACAGTTCCAGCACTGGGTGAATGCTGATTCCCCCAGACGAAGCCTGCACGGCAAAACGCATAGGGACATTGTAAAATAATAATCAGTCAACTATCATCTGGCATTTCCCCCTTTTTGTTCTGTTGGTCCACCTCTGTTCCCCACCGCACAGTCCCAGGCACACACTCCAGCCTCGGGTCATGCGGTCCCAGAGTCCCTGATGCAAACAGAGCCAGTCACCTCAAAACACTTTGCGTAGAACATCTTCAGCACGTTATAGATGAAATCCTTGGCTCGTTCGAAGTCCTCGGGCTCAATGCTGCCAGACCCGTCCAAGACGATTGCTATTTCAGTCCGCAGGTCTGTCGGGAATGAAAAACTGGCCTGTAAGAAACTAATGTGAAGTCTTCACCCATGACTATCATGAGCTGAGAATTAATGTCTGGCCTTCAGTGAGTGGTGAATGTCTAAGGGTCAGGTCACACGGACATTTAGTGTGGGCTTCACTGCTGATCCCGCACGCATTAAAGTTTCCTGTTCATATTGGCAAACCCGCCTCCCGCACTGAAGCGGGCTTAGTCCTGCGGTTTCCGGTCTTTTTATCCACGTTTTCTGACACCTGTTGGAACAGGTGTTTTCCTTGTACTCGCGCTTTGAACACGCAATTTCGCCTATCTGGACAGCCATCGATCACAATGGTTGCGATTAGGGCCGTCTGACCGTTTTCCCCCACAATGAGATTCCCCCCCCCAGGCTTCTGCCTGAGCCGGGCGGACGAGCAAAGTCCTCTGCAAGGCGCTCCGGGCGACAACAGCAGCTGCTGCGGCAGGCTTTGGAAGGGAGGGAAGGTGGAAGAGGAGGCGGTGGTGGCGCAGGGAGCACGAAGCAGTGATTTCGTGCGCCCTTGGGTTTGGCAGCGGCGGGGGGGGCTTCTGTGGAGTGGACCCTGCTGGGATCTCGGGGCTGTTGGTCTTCGCCAGGCTTTCCCCCTGCTGGGAGAGATTCAGGAAGTGCCGCTGAATCCTCAAGCTGTCTCCTGGGCCACCAGGGTGGGCTGGCAGGTGGGCGGGCAGGCGGGGGGGGGGAGGCTGAAGTTGCTGTGGTGGAAGAGAGGGGCCGGCTGCATCTAATCAGCCCGCCCCGAAGAAAAATATTCCCGATTAAATTGAAGCGGGAACAAAGCGGAATTACTGTGCCCATGTGACCACAGCCTAAGAGAAGAAGCCCTGGGGCATTGACCCTGCCTAAGCAATGGGTATTAGGCTGGGCCCCATGGAGCCATTCCTCTAACAGCAGAGTGTTCCCCTATTATTATTGTTGTTGTTGTTGTTACCCCGCCCTATCCCACGAGTGGGCTCAGGGTGACTTACAACATAAAATCCATAAAATGATAAAAACAATAAAACTTATGAAACAATAGATGGCACAATAAACAATAGCAACGAACCCCTTGCCTCATATCAGGTGGGTATATTTAAGAGGTGGGTCTATTTAAGAGGCTTCTGCTCTTGGCGCTAGGACAGGGGCCTTTCAAGTTCTACAAGTAAAGCACCAGTGTCAATATCTAAGCAAGACATCAACTCAAAGTCTGGAAAATATGACTTACCAGAATCATCCTCCTCTTCCTCCTCCACCATATAATTGTTGTTATTGTTAACATTAAAGGTTTTGTGCCCAAGCTCCAAGCCTCCCTCTGGACAATCTTTTTCTGGGAAACATAACATCATGA